GAGTCAATGCTGGATTTGCCTGGCAGGAGCGCATGCAGACTGAATCAGGTGCGACTTCTAGCAGCAGATCCATCTGAACATGGACATGGCCAATCAGGAGCAAGAATGAGGCCTTGTGCATTTCCCTACAACATATTTTTCCATTGCTGTCTTCTTTCCAATACAGTAAGCTTGACTCTAAGCCCCAGTTCAGAATTTTAGGCAGGTAATCTGGGCTGGTATTCTTGTATATGGAGCTCTGCATTGTTTGGGACATCTCATTTCATGTTGAACTGAGTGTTCATCTGTCTGTTTGAAATGGGTGTAAAAGATTCCTGTTGTTATTTGCGGGAGGCGATAGCCTGGTGCTATGAGCGCTAGATTATTAATCCAGAAACTCAGCTAGGAATGCAGGTTTGAATCCCACCACAGCAGATGCTGGAATCTGAATTCAATTTAAAAAAAATCTGGAATTAAGAAAGTATTGATAAACCCATCTGACTCTCTGATGTCCTTCAGGGAAGGAAACTGCCATCCTTACCTGGTCTGGCCTACATGTGACTCCAGATCCACGGCAATGTGGTTGACTTCTAACTGCCCTCTGGGCAATTAGGAATGGACAATAAATGCTGGCCTAGCCAGCGATGCCCTTATCCCATGAACGAATAAAGGGAAAAAAAGAAATGTCCTTCAGGGAAGGAAATCAGCCACCCACACCTGGTCTAGCCTACATGTGACTCCAGATCTACAGCAATATCGTTTACACTCAAATGACCTCTGAAATGGTCTAGCAAGTCACTGAGCAGTATCAATCACAATGAAGTCTTGACAAAGAAATGAAACCAGGTGGCCCACCTGGCATCAACCTAGGTACTGGAAAAAGAGAGGAACAGACCTGTCAATCCTATAAAAGTCCTCCTTACTAACATCTGGGGGCAAGTGCTAAAACTGGGAGAGCTGTCTCACAGACTAGTCAAGCACCAGCCTAACATTGTCAGGTATGATTCCATAACTATGACTATGTCCCAGACACCATCAATACTATCCCTGGATATGTCTTGTCCAACCAGCAGGACAGACCTATCTGAGGTGGTAGCACAGTGGCATACAGTCAGAAGGAAGTTGCCCTGGGAGTCCTTAACCTTGACTGTTGACCACACAAAGTTTCATGGCTTCAGGTTAAACATGAGCAAGGACACCTCCTGGTTACCACACACGGTCCTCCCTCTTTTGAGGAATCGTACTCCTCCATGTTAAACAACATTTGGAGGAAGCACTGAGAGCGGGAAGGGTGCAATACATGTTCTGGAAGGGGGATTTCAATGACCATTACCAAGAGTGGCTCGGCAGCAGCACTACTGATCAAGCTGGTCAGCGCTCAGCTGCAGGACGCAGCTGCTAGACTGGATCTGCAGCAGGATGTGAGAGAACTAACAAGAGTGAAAAACATTCTCGACCTCATTCTTACCAATCTGTCAGCTGCAGATTCATTTGTCCATGACAACATCGGTAAGTGTGACCACTGCACCTTGTTGAGACAAAGTTCCGCCTTCACACGGAGAATATCCTTCATCATGTTGTATGGCACTATCACCGTGCTAAATGGGATAGACTGAATGGATCTAGCAACACAAGACTGGGCATCCATGAGATGCTATGAGCTGTCAACAGCAGAATTTAGTCCAGCACAATCTGCAACCTCATAGCCTCAACAACTACAATAAGGCAGGGGATCAACCCCAATTCAATGAAAAGTGCAGGAAGGCATACCAGGAGCAGGACCAGGCCCACCTAAACACTAGGTGGCAACCTGGTGAAGTTACCAAACAGGACTACTTGCCTGTCCAACAGAATGAGCAGCAAGTGACAGACAGAACTAAGCAATTTCACAAGCAACAGATCAGACTAAGCTCTGAAGTGCTGCTACATCCAGTCATGAATGGTGATGGACAATTAAACAATTCACTAGAGAGTAGGAAGAGACTCCACAAATATCCCCAACTTCAAGGATAAAAGAGCCCAACACATCAGTACAAAAGATATGGCTGAAGAACTTGCAATCTTCCACCAGAAGTGCCAAGTGGATGACCTATCTTGCCCTCTTCCAGTGGTCCCCAGCATTACAGATCCTAGTCTTCAGACAATTATTCAATCCAGGTGATATCAAGAAACAGCGGGAGGCACTGGATTCTGCAAAGGCTATGAACCCTGACAACATTCCAAAAATAGTCCTGAAGACTTGTGCTCCAGAACTTACCACTCCCCTAGCCAAGCTTTTCCAGTAGTTACAATACTGACATCCATCCGAGAATGTGGAAAATTGCCCAGGACAAATCCAACCTGACAATTATCGCCTCATCAGTCTACACTCAATCAGTAAAGTGATGGAAGGTGTCATCAACAGTGCTATCAAGCAGCATCTGCTCAGCCACTCTCAGTTTGGGCTCTGCCAGGGCCACTCAGTTCCTGACCTTGTCACAGCCTTGGTTCAACCATGTGTAAAAGAGCTGAATTCCAGAGGTGAAGTGAGAGTGACAGTCCTTGAAATCAAGGCTGCATTTGATCAAATGTGCCATCAACGATCCCTAGCAAAACGGGAATCAATGGAAATCGGGGGAAAACTCTGCACTGTTTGGAATCATACTTGGCATTGGAAGGTGGTCATGTTTCTTGGAGTTCAGTTAGCTGGTCTGTGGGAGTTCCTCAGCGTAGTACCTAATCATCTTCAGCCGCTTCATCAATGGCGTTCCCTCCACCACAAGGTCAGAAGTAGCAATGTTCACCAATGATTGCAATGTTCAGCACCATTTATGACTCCTCAGATACTGAAGCAATCCATGTTCAAGTGCAACAAGATCTGGACAATATCCAAGCTTGGGCTGACAAATGGCAAGTAACATTCGCACCACAAATTCTGGGCAATGACCATCTTCAGAAGAGACCATCTAACCACCACAATTTGATATTAGATATAACAAGGTGTAGGGCTGGATGAACACAGCAGGCCAAGTAGCATCAGAGGAGCAGGAAAGCTGATGTTTCAGGCCTCGACCCTTCTTCAGAAAAAAAAATGATGCCAGTTTCCACAAGGGGCGTTTCAGAAACGCCCACCTTCTTCCTCAATCCAGGATTCCCCACCACGTGGTTGTCCGGGACCTCAGCCATGTCCGATCCATCTCTCGGACTCCGGCCCTCACCCCTTCTCTTCCCTCCCAAAACAGCAACAGGGACACCCAGTCTTCATTTACTACCCCATCCGCATTCACATCCAAACAATCATTAGCTGCCGTTTCTGCCACCTCCAGCAGGATGCCACCACCCGACACATATTCCCCTTTCCTCCCTTGTCAGCCTTCTGCAGGGACTATTTCCTCAGGGACACCTTGGTCCACACCCCTTCCACTCTCAAGACCTCCCCACACCCCCACAGCACTTTCCCTTACAATTGCAGAAGGTGCAACATCTGCCCGTTTACTTCCTCCCTCAGTTTATCTGTTTAACTGGGTGCAGGTAACCACAGTAGCCCAAGCCAATCATAGACACACACGGGAATTCCTAGAGGCATGTTTCTCCACTCGTAACGCAATCACCAAACATGTAGCATTGGACCCCATATACAAACCCAAACGGATCAAAACTGGAAATGACACTAATTACCATAATGGACCAGACAATATAAATTCCAAGCGGAGTAGAATAAAATCACTTCATCGGAGGATCCACTGATGGTGTCACCTAGCATTGTGACGAAACGTCTGAATGAGAACAACCCAGCTCAGCCAGCAAGTCAACAACCTCACCCACAACCCAAGCTATAGATCTTAGCCAAAACTTTAAAATTCCTCCCTCCTCACTATACAAAGCCCCAGACACATCAAGGTGAAGCAACAATTTATCTGTACTTCAAGTTAATCTGGTCCACTGCATTTGCTGTTCACAATGTGGTCTGCTCTGCACTGGGAACACAAAACACAGACCGGGCAACCACTTTGCAGAATACCTACTTCTGTCCACACAAATGACTCAAGCTTCCTGTTGCCTACCACTGCAACACACCATCGTATTCCTTGGACAACATCTGTCTCAGGGTTTGCTGCAGTGATCCAGCGAAGCTCAGTGAAAGTTGCAAGAACAGCATCTCATTATCCACATGGGTATTTTGAAGCCTTCAGGACTTGATATCGAGTTCAATAATTTTAGAGGCTGAGCACTTTCTCCCATATCCTTACCCCAACCTCCACACAAGCTGTTTTCATCACATTGGCTGCTACCACAACCAACCCATTGTCAAGCAGCTCTTGATTCTCCCAGACTGACCTTTACCCATTCCTTTGTCTGCCCAACTGCTGTACTCTCTTTCTCTTTCTCTGGGCTCAACATCCAACTATTGTTCACTCCTCCCCACTCCCCCACCCCATCTTCAGCATATATACCAACCTTTTCCTAGCTACAATCAGTTCTGAAGGACGACCACTGGGCCCAAAATTATAACTCTGCTTTCTCTCCACAGATGGTGCCAGACCTATGGAGTTTTTCCAGCAATTTCTGTTTTTGTTTGTGACAAAAGATATATTGTTTTATTTTCTTCTGAATACATGTCTCATAAAAGTAACGTATCAACAATGAAATGCATTAGCCACAAGTGACTAATACTGACAATTTAATATCTAATATCAAACAACTGCAGCCCCTGCAAAAAAATGCAATAATGTGGAGAAGACAGATAAAATAACAAAATACCCAATACTAGTCTACTCAACCCTTGCATAAACTGAAGAATCGATATCAACCTTTGGTGACAGGAGAGTGTTGTGAGGAGCAGAACATCTTTCACAATCTCAAAGTAAACTGTCATAATAATGCAAGATCTTGAGGGTTTACACGAGGCAAATATGGTATCTGCAACTTTGGAGCTCTACACTATGCATATTGCTTTGCCAGAACCATTTGACATAAGCTGCACCTTCTGGAGTATGGAATAAAAATTTAATAAGTAGAAAAGACTGACACGGATTACCAAGGATATTTCAAATTTAATCTATACCATGCATTTTGTTTGACAGATCTGCCAAGGAAAATGAGAAGACTAAGCTGGTATTGTCATAATTTGATGAGCCACCTCGGGAAGGTGTTGAGATAATATATTTCTAGAAAGGAAAACAGAATAAGGGAATCACTGTGAGAAGTTAGATAGCCAAATCAACAGGGAATACATATTTAAATGAACAAGATAAGAGCTTAGATAGAGCACACAATCAACAAATCTTTGCTACAGTTTTTTTTAAATAATTCTCTCAGGCTCTTACAGCTACGTATAAATGTATACTTGATTATAAGCATACACTGGGCTCCTCAGATGCTCAAACTCACTTAGGCATACATTGTGAACTCCAGTATTTTAAACATTAAATCCTTATGAGAGGATAGCTTAATTATCCAGGCTTTTTTAAACTGATCAGCACTGGAAACCATAGTTAATCTACTGTCAAGTTTAATTTGGAGACATTACAACATCTTAACTTCTATTCAAAAATTTTATGATCCATTTTCTGGTTTTGTTCAGAAAGAATTACAGAATAATTTAGTGGGCTGTGGTACAAAGATTTGCAAATCCCCAGTTTACAGAAATCCTAATCCAAATATATTCCAGACCCAACATACAAATTCATTGGCAATTAGAAATACAATCGAATGTATCTGAGACAGGAATGTCGACGTACAAAGATTAGGATACTTTGGAAGAATTTTGATCGGAATTTGCGTCAGCCAAAATGCCAAAATATTTACACCCACCTCGGCAAAATAAAGAGGATGTTTTTGGCAGACAACTCTTCTATCCCATTTTAATGTTCGGTCCTAACAGACAAAACGGTTTTGATGCTTCAAAGCAGATTAAACAGTGTATCGAAAAGACCAAGTATAGAACATTCATTTCCCTTCTAAGGTAGAAAAAGAAAAACAAAAGTCAATGATAAGTTACTGTGCTGCAAAAACGGAGCACAATCCAGAAAATATTTAAGAAATGGAAAATATATATCGAAGTTTTTTTCTTACAATTTATTCAAGTATCATATAACTAAAGGGCTGTGCTAGTAAGTTCTGGATGATTTCCAGTCTGTGCACCATTTTAAAATGATTAATCCACAATTGAGAACCTAGAGAGTATTTTATTTTCAAAAGCCAATATTTGGCAAAATTTCAAGGCTCATTAAACAATGTTGGCAGTTGTAAATTGCCTGCACAGAAGCAAAATATCTACCACCTAACTTTATTCATTCAACATATTGCAAAGATAGATCATGAAATTGCTTGCTTTGATTTCATATTTTATTTAAATTATTGAAGAAATGTCACAGACTTGAAGTGTTGGCTGTTTCCTTGTCCATTGATACAGAAATTTTATCCATTCACACCACAGGGGGTCTCCAGGCTCTTAACTGCAATCACAGGTCTTCTTGGAACTGATGCACTAAGATCACTGTCCAAATGATTTTCTGACCTACTTAAAAGAAAATTCCCAAAACTGATGGATTTCAGATGGATTTCAATCTGCTTCTTACCTAAAATAAAATCCAAATTCCAAAAATATAAATTTGCTACAACACAAAGTCAGACAGCCACATCAAATCAGCATCCCTCTCTCCCTGTATTTGTATCAGAGTAAAATTAAAACATTCAATGACCCTCAAAATTGATCCCAGTGGCCCTAACCAGACTTTTTGAATAAGCAGTACCAGACACTCAACCAAAAAAATCAGGTTTATGCCTTAAGTAAAAGATTTAACAAATTATTAATAACTCAATAGCTTTAGGAAAGCAAGATTAAGCAACAAAATAATCTAACTAATATCTATGATTTAAACCCAATCATGTTTGATTCTAGTCCTGTCCGCACACAAAGACAGACAAACAGACAGACACAGTTAAGGGATGAATCAAAGGAAAAGAATGAATGAAATGCAACTGACCAGTTCACTTAAACAGACTCCATGATCCATAATCTCTCAGGCATATGGGATTGAAGTTTACTTAGTTTCCTGAAAACATGCATACAAACAGCTTCTTGTAATTAGCTTCCAGGCCTAAATAGCAGTTCATTTATTCTCTTTTTTAAAAAAAAAGCTGTTTACTTAATGTCACCTTCAGCTCTCAGTTAACAGCTCCAAACTAAAAATGATAAAAGTAATGAAGGTCTTAAAAATGCAGTTATTATACAACTTATATCGCAGTAGTCACTGATGACATGAAGGAAATATCAGTCATTTAAGACATTGTAGGATTACATGAACAGCAAAGCGATGATGATCAGACAATGGTTTTATTTCTGTCTGAAGGACAGATTTTGTTTGCAACACTTCACAGTTCTGCTTTGAATATTGCTATGGGATCATTTAGGTTCTCCCAAGAAGGCGGGGTACCAACTTTATATCCAAGGCTTTTCAAAAATTTGTTTTCCCAATCCACTGTGAAACTTTATGGGGAGATAGCTCACTTGGTCACAGCAACGCTGTGTCATGGGTAAGACGCGAAGTACTAAATGCAATCAACTCCAAAGTATCTTGCACAGAGTCGTCCTCATGATGTACCTCTTCTTGGAGGAGATGCCATTGTTGTTGTGAGCCTGTTTCTTCTGCATGGAATAACGTAAACTTTCCCTGCTTCCACTCTTTTCTAGTACTTTATTCAAGGATTCTTGCCTATCTTTTTGGGAGCAGCTTCCTCCTCCTCAGGCACTTTCAAACAAACACGATCCCACTAAAAGTGAAGAGTGTGAACAGCTGATGAATTTTAACCAGCAAAATTCACTCAACATTGTATCAGAGACAGTAGGAACTGCAGATGCTGGACAATCTGAGATAACAAGGTGTAGAGCGGGATGAACACAGCAGGCCAAGCAGCATCAGAGGAGCAGGAAGGCTGACGTTTCGGGCCTCGACCCTTCATCAGAAATCTAGGCCCGAAACGTCAGCCTTCCTGCTCCTCTGATGCTGCTTGGCCTGCTGTGTTCATCCCGCTCTACACCTTGTTCACTCAACATTGTAGACTTTAATTCCCCAAACCCGCGCGTGTTCACC